TTGTTTGATTCAATCTGAGCTCTCAGTTGTGCAGATTTTCTCAATTAAGTAATGTGTTTATTGAGTTTGAGGTTTATGGTCAAAGAGGTCCATAAATGTTTACTGAACCTATTGGAAATCACTTTACTATTCTAAGAACTTATTATGTAGAAATGGTTAACTGGTAAGCCATATTACCTCTATTACTTATAATTTGGAGGTGAACTCATTATCACAATAAGATCATGGAAACATTTCCAGAAAAGGATAGATAAAAAGAACACTAAAAACAAAACTAAAAGCAAAACAGAGCGAAAACCAAAAGTTTTCGAAAACGAACTTGGCAGCAGATGTTTCAAAATGAAGAGTTCATGAAAGAAAGGGAGCAAAGTATAAAGGATAAGAAGTGAGGAATAGCCTGCCTAAAATAATTTAAAATATTTATATGTTGGAAAATAAGTAGATGAAAATTAATTAGAAATCACTGAACCTACCTGAGCAAGAGGCTTATTCTCAAATAGTGCTTCATGTTGAAAGAACTTGTCCAGCCCATGCTCCTTGGCAATATGTTCAGATTCATCAGAGAAGAGGACAGCGTCCCCATCAAAGGCCACACGGAGTTGTGTGTCACAGTAGGCCATGTCTTTGGCTCCATCAAACATTGTTGCAGAGGCAATCCCTGGCAGACCATGGAGATTTATTAATACTCTTCCCAGAGGTGTCAGTTTCTTCTACCATTTTAATGATTTAAAAAAGGAAAACAAGAAGTCCTCCCAGACCTTGCAGTATTTTTTTTTTCTGGCCATCACCTGATGACTCAACTGCTCTTTATAACCACATATTTCTAAATGTTTACACACTGCCTCAATTTCTGTAAGGGATGGGAAAGTGTAAAAGGGGTTGTAGGACAATCACTGAGGGTGTTCACCTCCAGGAAGGTGAGAGCTCTCAAAGACAGGCTTAGGGTCTGCCACTTGTGGAAACGCCTTACCAGAAAATTTAACAAGTCACATAGTCATATATGAAGCCCAATAAAAGTCAACACTAGTGCAAGCCTTTTTATTAACTTAAGGGATAAAACCAATGAATACCTTCTTGTATGGCTTCTTGTACTTTTTCAGAATCTGCAGAAAGATACAAGTTGGTAAGATATGCCTTCAAATAGCCAATGGGGCTTTTTCCACCAGTCAGACAGAAGCGGTCAATTAGTAAGCCTATTATTGGGCAAGAAAGACTTTGTTATGTCAGAGACTAAAGACAATATACCTACTGTAAATGTAAATCAAAGTTATCATAGGAATAATTAAGTATCTATTGAAATTTTAGAATTACCCTCATAGCACTAATATTGAAAAACTGCCATATTACATTTAAAAAGCTATTTTATATAATAGTGGATATGTTTGGTGCATAAATTCATTAAGTAGTCCACACAGACCATGCCAATTTACCCTCACAACAACTGTATGACAGGTATTATTCTCACTGTGACACAAAGGAAACGGAGACATAAAGACTTGTCTAAGCCCATTGGTTCATAAGGACTCTTGTCTAGACTAGAACATAGTTCTTTTCCTTCAACCACCAGCTCCTCACTTGTTGAAAGAGATAGTTGATGTGTGTCTCTATTTTAAGTGCCATTTCTGTATTTCTTCAGTAACAGTACAATAGTAATGACAAGCAGTGCCAGGATTTAACCTGTTTTCTAAAAACAACAACAAAATGCCTGAAAGTGTCTCCTTCTTGACTCGGAATTTTAAATGCAGTTATTTAGCAGACTAAATATTAAAATACCATTAAATATCTTTCAAATAAACAATTAAAAAGCAAACGCTAGATGTCGGCAAAAGGTTTCTAAAATAGGCACCCATATTCATTTAGATGCAAGTATAAATTGGTACAAGATACTAGAAAGTCTTGACAATATGTCTCAAAGGCTTTTTTTTAAAATCTTAAGTGTTTTCCTTTTATTGAAATTGATGTTAGTTGACATACATGTAGTATTGGTTTCAAGAATAGAATTTAGTATTCATCACTTACAAATAGCACCCAGTGCTCATCCCAAGTGCCCTCCTTAATACCCACCACCCATTTTAGCTCATGCCTCCACCTACCTCTCCTCCAACTACCCTTAGTTTGTTCTCTGTAGTTTGCTGCCCTCTGTTTTTATTTTATTTTTTATTTTCTGTTTTATCTTTCCTTCCTTTCCCCTATGTTCATCTGTTTTATTTCTTAAATTCCACATGAATGAAATCATGTTATTTGTCTTTCTGATTGCTACCTTAGAGTTCAAGTCAGTAAGACCTTAAGTGAGCACCCAAATCAGTGGTTCTCAACTGTGGGTGCAAATTAGGATCACCTGAAGCGTTTTGTTTTTTTTTTTAATGTAATTTACTGTCAGATGGCTAACATACTGTGTGTCAGGTATGCTCTTTGTTTTGGGGGTAGATTCCCGTGGTTCATCGCTTACATACAACACTCAGTGCTCATCACAACAAATGCCTTCCTCAATGCCCATTACCCATTTTCCCCTCTCCCCCACTCCCCCATTCACCCTTATTTTGTTCTCTGTATTTAAGAGTCTCTTATGGTTTGCCTCACTCCCTCTCTGTTTGTAACTATTTTTTCCCTTTCCCCTCCCTCATGGTCTTCTGTTAAGTTTCTCAAGATCCACATATGAGTGAAAACATATGATATCTGCCCTCTGACTGACTAGTTTCACTCAGCATAATACCTTCCAGTTCCATCCACATTGCTGCAAATGGTATGATTTCATTCTTTCTCATTGTCAAGTAGTATTCCATTGTATATATAAACCACAGAGCTTTTATTAGTTTATAGCTTTTGACCTTTTCATAGTTTATTCTAAGGGAATAATCTGAAACTCTGATAAAGATTTATGTGGAAAGGTCTCAGCTCAGGATTATTTATAAAACCAGAACACTGTTTAATGATATGAGAATAGTTGAATAAAGTATAACATTATGCATATGAGATAGTATACATTCAAAATGTTTTTAGATACATGATAAATGGATAGCTGCACATGATATAAAGCAGAAGTTTGAGTCTCCTCAGTTGTGTTTCATCTGTATGGACCAACAGAGTAGATAGAGTCCATCAACAGTTGAGGTGGAAGTGTTTGCTATGGTATGAACAAAACAACTCTTGTTTTTCATTTAAGCCAACATTGGGCATAAGTGACACCAAAGTGTACTCTACAATCCCTTAAATAATATGAATTTACAGATCAGAAATTATTTGATGTCATTGGGGACTTCAGAAATTATTGAAACATCATCCCAGTTCTCAAGGAGATCATAGTTCACTGAGTAGCCAGGCATGTAAAACAGATAATTATAACTTAACAGGCCATAGCAGAAGGAGATTCAGATTGCCTTAAATACCCAGAGAAGAGAAATGACTAACGCTTCCAGGCGAAATGTTGTTATTTCATGCATAAGCAAGCTTATGTGAGAAGATGGAGCTCTATCAGTTCATTAGCAGAATTGATAGGCAAATAACTATGATTCCTTATGCTACTAGCCATGATGGACTCAGTTTGGCAAGGGATCAATAGACCTAAATCACCTACTAAATCAAATAAAGATTGTTGTAAAATTAATAGCCGCCATTATCAAGTGATTAGCTTACTCATCTATACTAAACCTTTTTGTATACATTCTCTTTTCATGTCACAACACTTTCATGGTGCTTTTTTGAAAGGCAAACATTTTTAAAAGTATGTCTCAGACATCAGCCTTATAATTAGGATAATGTAAAACTCATAATTTATAATACATCTTGTTTATTTATAAGTATTCCCACTTTAAACCCACTTTAAACCTTGAATATGCCAAAGTCCAACCTTACTTTGACTTGGCATACCCATAAGATTGGATATGTCACTTAAAGATAGGCTAAAGGTCCTCAAGTAACAAGTCAGGTAATTCCACAACAGGAAAATGAGGATTTCTCTCTTAAAGTATCCAACACATGATGGAAATGCTATGAGGAGACTAGAGTCAATCCAAATGTCCATGTAAAGGAATAAAGACATTTTTGCTGGCATGGGTATGGATCTGATGTGTGGGGAAAGCAGTATGGAAGCATCAAATTGTCAGAGTTGAAAGGGAAGGGGGAAAAGCCTGTAAATCTTAGACATGGATCTGTGGTGAGCAAGAAGTGTGATCACACAGAGAAAGCCTCTGGGTTGACGGCTCCTTGAAGTCAGGTTCAGAAATGAAAAACATAAAACAGAGAAATATATTGCAGGAGCTGGGATTAAGACTTTGAAATTCACACTTGACAAGTTAAGTCCGGAGCTTTGGGCCCAACTCTGCTGAAGTTAAAAATGAACATGGCCTCTCTTTTTCTGACATAGGCAAATAAACATTCCTCACTCAGAAGGGGGTGTCAGTATCAAAGACTCTGCATTAGTTAGGCCACAGTTAGCAAAATAACATGGCTTCTCCCTTCCAGAGCAGCTAGCTGTTCTTCCACATGTTGTTTATTTTACTTACCATAGTGATTGACGCTGTTTATAAGCCGCACTCCCACTTGGGCATGGTTATTAGTCATCAGTACAATATCAAATAAGTCCTGTTCATTAGGATACAGCTCACGGAGTCTAGCGTTGACATGCTGCAGTGCCTGCAGGTTACAAACATGAATGCATGTAAAGAGGGCCAGGGAAGGTGGGCATTGGAGTCTGGAGAGAAAGGATAGCATCAGTGTCAAGTTCAGACTCTGAAGACTCTTCACTAAGAAATTATGGCTCCTTTAAGGCAGGTTTATACCATTCATTCCTGTATTTCCTGCCTCTTATACACAGGGCATCAGTTAATGTTTGCTGAATAGATAGGGAAAGTTTGTTGAAAACTGTTATATTTGGTTTCCTAGAATTGTCTCTGTGGGGTAGGTAGAGGGAAAGATCAGGTTAACCCTTTTATGTTTGTCTTTTTTTTTTTTTTTGATTCATAAAATCTTTTCTTGATCATCTGGTGATTATTTTTTATTGTGAAAATATAGAATGCTTCATGAATTTGAAGGTTACCCTTGCACAAGAGCCATGCTAATGGCTTTTGTATTGTTCCAATTTTAGGATGTATGCCACCAAAGCACTTTGTCTATTTCTTAAACATGAGTCTTTAAAATAGGTTAGTGGTTTCCTCTGATGAGTCTACCATGCCCCATAAATACCTTCTACTCACAACTTGTGGAGATGTCATTTATTTCTGTCTGGTTATAATGATATTGCATAATATTGTATAAGTTATATAGGGGATCACATGTGCTGTACATTTCAGTGTAAGTTCAGAGAACCTTACTTTCTCTGTTAAAAAATCATGACCCTAAGCACAAACCAAGATCATCTCGGTATTATGTTTGGGGCAGCTAAAGTGAATTTCATTTTGTTTCTAATGCTGGGATTGTAAACTAATTACTGTTTCTGGTTACCTCTCCTTCTACGAAGGGAACAGAGATGTCTCTAACATGTGTCATCATTAGAACTCTGCTGAGGGCCATCTCAAAATCCCAAATCTAGAACTTAAGACCCTTCCTCACCAGTCTGGGAGCCTCTGTGAAAGCATAAATTGACCTGGGGTCAACTTGAAAAGGGCAAGAATTACAAAGGTGGACCAGTAATAACAAGGAAACCTCGATGAGTTCCCAAGGACCTGTCTGGGTCCTTCCCTCTCCATCCAAGGTCCTGACAGGCTGAACACAGATTTGGGGAGTACCTTGACGAAGCGGAATGCAGGCCCTGGGGTCAGGATGACATTCTCGTTGGTGAGCTGATATTCCATGTACTTTTCTAGACCCTCTTCCTCGTAGATTTTCCTGGCGTCCACCATGTTGAAAAGTGCACGGGATGACACAGCGATGGTGATGGCATGCTTGGGTTTGGGCTGCATGAGAGGGGTGCCAATGTGAGGATAGTCATACAGATGGAAAAGATCAGGAAAAGGGCTCGTGCCAGGGCAAGGCAGAAAGAAAACACCTAGGCCCCTGCCTGGGGCACGGGGATGCTGGAGACAGCCAAGGGCTGAGATGCCACCCCCCCCCCAAATCCTGAAACTACAGGGGTGAGAAGTTGGGCGGGGGGAGAAGCAGGGTGCTGGGCAGGACTTCCCTACACATTGGAGAGGAGGGAGGCTGTAGGGTTGCAGAGAGGGGAGTCCCAGGCACCAGGTCAGTGGGCCCTACTCACTGGTCGGGGGCGAGAGCAGCTGGGGATCTTCTCATACAGAGTTCTCACGGAGGCCCAGTAGGCTTCATCGTCGTCCTCCTCTTCCTCCTGCTGCTGTTGCCGGGGCAGTTCTGACAGACAGTCGAGGTCCAGCTGGGCAGAGTAGGGGGTCCTGCGCTGAGCATAGGACTTCCATTCGGTGGGGGGGGTGCGAGGGTATTCCCGCAGCGGTGTGGAGTCCCGGGAGTCCCTGATGTCGCGCACCATGCCTTGAGCCCAGGCTTCTGGATTCTCATGCATCTTGGAGTTGCGCCGGGACTGGGAATAGGACTCCGGGGGAGTGGGAGGGCGCGAGTCGAGAGGCATGGGTGGCGTGGGCGCCGCGGGCTCTGCTGGCAGCTCTTTCTGGGACTCTTCCTGGCTGGGGGAGGAGGATGAAGCCTGGGAGGTTGTGGAGCTGGTGGGGAGCTGGAGCAAGAAAGTGGGGGTCTGAGTTAGATGCTCACCTTTCCCCATCTCTGCTTAGCAAGAATCAAGGACCGTTGGGGCGCCTGGGTGGCTCATTCGGTTGAGTGTCTGACTTCAGCTCAGGTCATGGTCTCTAGGTTCCTGGGTTCGAGCCCCGCGTCGGGATCTGTGCTGACAGCTACCTCAGAGCCTGGAGCCTGCTTCGGTTTCTCTGTCTCCCTCTCTCTCTGACCCTCCCCTGCTCATGCTGTCTCTATCTTTCTCTCAAAAATAAATAAAAAACCTTAAAAAAAAAAAAAGAGTCAAGGACCCTTGCCCTTCCCTTTGTTTCATTCTTAGCCCTTAGTTGTATCCTGGTCATCCCAGTTCCTTTAAATAGGGCTTGAAGGGGCTCAGATGTTTCAAGAACCCAGTTATTAGGTATTTCTGTTAAATGGACACAGAAACAGGTTGTTTTTATTTTCCCCTCCCAACCCTCTCACCCCATCAGCACCTCACACTGCTTTTTTGTTTTGTTTTGTTTTGGAGCAGATATTAATGGTCTTCTTGCCCTTAGGCAGCTGGCACATAGTTTGCAAAGTTCTGTTGCTTGCTTTCCTTTTAATTACTAATTCAGAGACCTCCAGGTGGGACGGAGGGCTTGCGTAAGGGACTTTGCTCACCACTGCCTTCATTTGTGACCTCCAGGTAATTCTCTAAGTGACTAGACCAGATGTCCCCACCAGCAGACCCTACAAAACATCCGGAGGCATCTCTCTGTATATTGGCCCCTCTGATTAATGCAGCAATTGTTGGGAGGGTTGGTAGTCTAGGGAACCAAGTGTCTCCCTACTGCCTTCAGAACTTTGTGCCAGTGGAGCACATTTGGAGAGAATCATCTTCCTAAATAGAAAGGAAGTATAGCTAGGTTTGCAAGAAATTATGAAGCATCTATATTTTATTTCAGTCTTGATGATTGTTTCACGTGTTTCAAGAGACATCCTTGGTTAGATTATTGAGCCACTTTTCACAGGGATAGATGGATCAGTAAGGATACATGTTCTCCATCTAGGTCTGTGTCACTCTCTCTGTATCCAAAAACTTATTACAAAACTAATGTTTTCTTCTCATGGGGCCAGGCCTCCATATAGGCCCAAAGCACCACACAATCTACCCTTTTCAACAATTTATCTCCTTTGTTGATTTTTCTATCCCATTTTCTAAGGCTTGGGTACTCACTTATTGAATGAAGGAAAGTTGAAAGGACAAGTCAAAGAGCTCAGTCATTAAGTGTACAGTTTATAGACCTAGTGACCCTGGTTTTAATCTACCTTTATTAGTGTTATTAAGGTGAGATCTTAGGCAAGTTACTCTGTGTTTCAATGTTCTCAACTGTAAAATAGGGCTTACAGGTGTTTTTTTTTTTAATGATGACTGAATTAGCTAAAACATGTAAAGTGAATAGAATAGGGCCTGGCATATAGAAAGCATCAAAAATATTATTATTATTATTATTATTACTATCATTACCATTATTATTATATCATGTTCCCTTCATTTAATCTCCATCTCTACCTTAAGACTGCCACTCTTGCTTCTGGGTTCATCTATTGATGGAGCTCTGGTGGATGGGCTCCGTGATGTTCGGGACCACTGGTTTCGCACAAGATGCCCCCGAGAATCAGTCTTCGACAATGGTAATTCTTGTGATCCCTTTGGAAGAGAGAAGAGACCCCGGGGTGTGATGCCTTACCACCCACTCCCGCCACGCATGTGCCTACAGAACAGTCATGTCAAGCTAAATATAGCAGAGCCCAAAGAGAAGGTCCCTGGCCTATATGATTAATTCAAGTACTATTCTAGCTCTGGCCCAATCCTAAACTCTGTGAGGGGCAAAAAGTGGGGATCCACCTGGAGGAGAATCTAAAACTAAGAAACAAATGTGATGTCTCTTATTGTTTTTTCACCTGTGACTCCTCTTATAAGGAGCATAGGAGAGTTGACCATTTTTTCCTCCCTTTTCCCCACTTGTTCCCTTAAAGGTAAGCCTTTTAGCTGAAACTAAGAAGACATTATTTACCATTTTTTACCATATTACAAAGATGGCAGCTGGCCCCTAAATGAGGCTGCAACAGGGCTCCAAAGCAGCTACCTAAGCGGGAATAGAGCACTCTAGAATTTCCTTTGGGAGGAGTATGAATGGAGGAGACTGTGCGAGGCAAGCGGAAGAGTTTTTATTCCCCATATCCTGCCCCTCACCCAGACTGCCTGTGGCTCCCCTCCAAAATCAGTCGTTTGATCTCTGCTCACCCCGATCATGGTGATCTGCCGGCCCTGTGCCCACAACAGGCACATGTGAATATAAACACGTATTGTGCGGCAGGGGCCAAGAAGTACTGTTCCCTCCGCTGCACAAAGGCAGCGTCTACACGACGAGTGACCTCGCATGGGGCAACATCTCAGCAAGTGATTCGGATTGACTGCACGCCTCATCTGAAAGATTGTGCAGAAAATGGTCAATGTGATGGCCAGACTCCCCTTCCCTCCCTGATTTGAACAATGACCAGTCTCCTCCCATAGGCTGAGCAGAGAAGATGGCTGTGGTTTCTACACCATATATTCTACGTGAACATGGGGGTGTGTACTGGTGGGGAAGGCAGGGACAAGCTTCTCCTAGTCTGTACTTAACCTCTCCATGAGGACATTAGATTTCCCTTAGTAGAAATCTCGGCAGCTCAGTCTTCTCTCCCAGAACTCAACTCCCCTGCTCCCTTACATTTTCTGTTATGCTTTCTGCTCTTTAATTCACTCACCAACTCTAAAGAGGTCAGCTCACCTGCGTGCTCAGACGAATTCCTGATTTCTCAGAATCCCTTCTTTTCTCTGTGTCTATGCTGTCTTTTGAGTTCTTGGATCCAGTATCATTCTTAATATGAAAACAAAGTATTTTTATTAAGTTTTAATCTCAGGGGCATTAGAAACCTTGGGTTTAGGAATGAAAGGATAAATAAAAATTAGAATTTGTCTCTTTCCCAGTTTAAAAGCATATATAAATTTTAGACATTTTCCCCTTGTTCTAACAGGCATGGATAAAAATAACACCTATCAGAGAACTATATAAACAATTTTTTAATTTAGAAATTTGTTGGCTTATATATTGAAGCATGAGGCATTTATCATTTAAGAAATGATAACAAAGAATATGCTATGGGAGAATTTTCTAGGGCTCAGCTGGATTTCCATTTAATGTGAAGTTGCTCACACAGAATAACTTTTTTTCCCTGTCCACTTCTCTGAAGATTGCTACTTTTTTCCTTTTGCCATGTAGAATTAAAACTTCTCTTGTGTGTTTTCTTAACAAACCAGAACTCCAATCTTTCTGTGCATGTAAGCCTCACCATATTAGTTTGATTTTTAAAAATCAAGATTCTTAATGCCATGCAGATCTATTGATAGTCCTGTCTTTGGTACATATTTTCTAATT